GGCTCCCCTCTTCAAATTAGTAGTACTTTGAACACAGGATGGTTTAAAACAGGAGAAATTTAGAAATTAGTAGATTAATATATTCTTCTGACCATCCTCCACAGTGTTAATGAAGTCTCCTATTCTAGCCACATTGATGTGGTTCTTGTCACTTTTATAATTTATTGATCCTTGTATTCATTTCAATTAATATTCATCAATATTCATCGATTCTACTATGAACTCAGCACTGAGCTTGGCACCAAAGATACAATAATGGCCAAAAACAGATGAGGTTAATCTCTTCCATTATAGGTCTTATTAGTTAGAAAGAGGGAATAAATATTAATGAATAATCCAGAAATAAATACATCAATAAAGAAATTTGTCGTGCCAAGCGTGCAGGCATGGGAGCTAGACTGATCTGGGTCCAAATCCCATATCTTCCTCTTCCTGGTTTTATCATGATGGACAAGACACTGAAACTCACTGAGCATCAGTTTCCTCATCTCTAAAATGAAGTTATTAATCCCAACCATGCAGGATTGTTGCGTGATTGGAAGTCATCATGAAAGTTGCCTTATGATAATTACTATGAGGAGTAGATTAAGCCCATTTGCCCCTTTAGAAGACATGGTATCCTTTCCTTGCCCTCCACCCCCATCTCCAATGGCTTCCTTAACTTCTGACTCCACCAGAATCCAGAGAGCACACACTTCTTCTATAATTTAAAGTTAACTTACCAAAGTCATCATCTGCCCAGAAACTGAGGAAAGACAAAAATAGAATTGCTTTTAATTATTATCTATTGAGTGTGTACCACATATGAAGTATTATGCCAGGTAGTTGCTAATTTTATTTCACTTAAAGATTACAACAATCCTTGAAGTAGACATCATTTTTAACCCCAACTTACAGTGAAGAAACAGTCTCAGATGTATGAAATTATTTGTGTAGCTGATACCAGCTGAATCTGAATACTTTCTGCAAAGCTATATCAGGAAAAGCCAGTTTTCCTCCTGTGTCTTTCTGTCCTGTTTACTGCCTTTAGTTTTACTCTACTGCCACACTCACAGCGCTTCAAATCAGACACTTCTGGTCCCCAAATGCGTGGGGTTTCCCCCCCACTAAGCAATTTTACAACCTCAGCTGGGTGTCCTGCAGTGTAACTCAACTCAGGTCAGTTCTGACAGTTTCCCTGGAGATAGTGTCAGATCCCACAGGTTAAGGGTTCAGTCCCACAAAACTGCTTCCACTCTACTCCAGTTGCCAAGTGCAAGCAGTAGATTCCCAGGGTACCTACAACTTTTGCCCACATTTGGCTACACATCAAAGATTCCCATAACCCCTTCTTCAGATTTGATTAATTTGCCAGAACACCCACAGAACTCAGGGAAACACTTACATTTTCCAGTTTGTTAAAAGATGAAGAGACACATAGGGCGAGGTCTGAAGGGGTCCCAAGTACAGGATCTTCAGTCCCCATGGAGCTGGGATGTGTCACCCTTCCTGTGTGGATGTGTTTGCCAACCTGGAATCCCCTACTGTTGAGGTTTCATGAGGCTTCCTCACGTAGGCATGATTGATCATTAATTCCATTTTCAGTCCTTCTCCCTTCTCAAGAGGATGGGGGGCGGGGCTGAAAATTCCAAGCTTCTAATCATGGCTTGGTCTTTCCGGTGACCAGCCTCCATCTGGGAGCCATCCAGGAGCCCCCTCAGAGTCACCTCAATAGAACAAAGACACTCCTATCACCCAGGAAATTACAAGGGTTGCAGGAGCCTTGAGCCAGGAACCAGGGGTAGTCATCAATATATATATTTTCTATTATCTCACAAAAGCCAGCATGATTTTCCTGTATCTCTCTGGTTTATTTGCCTAGTCTCTCTGCCAGTACTTTCTTGAGTTTCTGAAATAGTAAGTTGGGATTCTGCATTCTGCATTCTTCTTCCATCCCCTACTCCTCATCCTTCTCTTTTGGCTATATTAATACATCCTGGATGTGACAACATTCTACCACCGCTCTGTGCTCTGGCAAGAATTGGGGCAAATTAATGTTCTTATAATTGAATGGATGGCTTTCTGGGAAATGGTGACAATTTTTTCTAATAGATCTGCATGAGCTAGGGAAAAAAAATGAGAAGAGCTGATAAAAGACTTTTACCCTGTGAAATGCAAAGAACATAAGAAAGAATGAACTGATGAGGCGATGTTTTCCTAATGTGAGAACAGAATGATCAACAATCGATAGCGAAAAAGGAAGAGGCAAACAAGCATATTCCAGTCAAAGAGCAAAGGAAAAACTAGTGGAAAGGGACTCTGTGACCTCATCTACAGTTCAGTTTTAGCTACTGATTTGAGATGTGGGGCAAATAACCATACCTGCTTTTATATACTTAAATGCAAAACAAAAACCCGACATTATAACACTGGTTCCTGTCTGCATATAGTTCAAATGTTGTGAGAACAAATTAGATTGTGTAATTGGATTAGAAAGATATCTTATAAATGTTGAAAGGTGTCAGGCTTGGGATGAGTAGATGAGACAAATAGCCTTTAAAATTTCTTAGAAACTCAGGATTTCTAAGATTCTTTTAGAGTTCCTATGTGTATGTGTGTTTATATATAATTATGACAAATTGTACCATTGTCTTGTAGGGAATTTACATAGTTACTGCACAGAAAGACTTTATCATTTGGTATACAATAATGCTTTATGTAATTAATAAATACATGAATAAGGAGGAAAATCATCTTAACAAGAGGATTGGTTGAAAGTCTAAGGCAGTCATAGCCCCAAATTCCTTCTCCAATGAAAGGAGGCAATCATCCATGATCGAAGCTTTATTCTTTGGAGAAATTGAACAGAAGTAGTTCTGGCCATTGGACATGAGGCACGGTGGGTGGCAGGAGTTACACGTTGGACTGAACACAGGGAGAACAAGTTAAATTGTGCATTCCAAATGGTGAAATTTCCCAGTCTTCTTCCCACACTCTGATCTCAGAGTGCTGGCAACCAGATGTATAAATGTAGACTGGAGTTAGTTGGATTTTATTCTGGAAAACTTGAAAAGCTTAGGAGAATAGATCTACATAAACTAGCACTCTGGGATAATTCAAAGAAAAAGCTGGCCCGCTCCCCATTTCCCTCCGATGCAGTCCACAAGTTAACAACCAGGGTTCCCATGCAGGTTTTTTATGCTTCCTAATTCAACATGAAAGCATAGCTACAGATAGCCAGATATTTGATGGAACTATCAAGCATTCCAGATGGCACAAAGAACAACAAGCAAAGATAATAGAGACAATATGAGAACTGAAGACAAAAATCCCAGAAATTTAAAAACTCAAATCAAAGCAAAATGAAACTAAAACAACAAAGATATTGAATTACACTCCCCCCAGCACAACCAAAGAAAGAGAAAAGAATGGCATAAAAAAGAACAAACAGACAACTAGAAAGAGCTCGTGGAAAGCAAGAATATGACAGCCAATAGAAGGATGAGAAGATAAAGTGCAAAAAGTAGAACAACGCAACATGGAAGGCTGTACTTGTGGTCCTGAGAACTCCCCAAGGATTGGGATACAGAAGACGATGCACCTCTTCAGAAATTTCTGGAACATAACTAAATTCTTGTATTGAGCTATCTGTATCTTCTTTCTTTAAAAAATACTTGTTGGCATGTAGCAACCTTGTCAAAGAGCTAATAATGTCCTAGAGGTCACTATGTCAGACAATCTGAGAATTACTGACTGCTTATTCCTCACCTTAATAATCTAGATAATTGCTCCAGTTAACATTTTATTTTAGCTGAAACATTTATTAATTTGTTATTGTTTCCTGATTTTTAATAGCTTCTTGAATTACCAGCTGTAGATCACTATTAAGTAAATATATTGCACCCTGGCAAATAACTTTGTATATACTTGCTAAATTTTCATACGCAAATCTCTCAATACATACCGCTTAAGCTATAGAATGGTTTCTTTTGAACATATTAAGCACAGATGAGTATCTACGTTCCTTTTGGATGGATTTGTGGAATACACTTAAATGTTCTGTTTGGGTGCTTCGTTTAGATTATTTGAATGTGTAATCTATTGTCTCTCAGCTTTAGCTGTCACCCAAACATTTTGTTTGATTCCAAACATTTGTTCAAAAACCTCTAAGAAAGTGTCACATTGTATTCTATAGTATTTATTGCGTATCTGTCTCCTAGGAACTCCTCAAGGATAGAGACACTATTTTATTCCACATTCGCAGTCATTAGGGTGATATCTTAGCCCACAAAGACACACAATGCATACGCTTGCAGTGCACTGATGAGTAAAAGTCATCTCTTAGACACTATGGACTCATGGAGCGCACCAAACCGAACAGAGGATCCAAGCGTGTTAGGAAGCAACAGTAGAGTCCATACATCCTGCACGGGCTGCAGATGCAAACAAGGGATTTGTTAGTTTTTTATTTAGAACCAACCGAGTAGAGAATGAGAAAGAACTGGAGTCTGAAATGCAGCAGAAATTCCATGACAGATGAAGTGAATCGTAACCACAGGGGTGAAACACAGTTATCAGAGGAGTGGGAGCTGCACATCTGAGACGCCAGTGTTCAAAACTGTTCAGGATTTTAAAATTATCTCAAATGGGATTAGGGGTAAAAAGTCAAGTACCGACCTTCTTTTCTTGTTTTGTGCATTCTTCACAGGAGTTGAGCTCCCCTCTTGTAGAATTATGGAAGAAGCATCAAACAGATTTCGCCACCCATGCTATGGTTTCATGTTCTTTGGATGGTTTGTCAAAATTATCCTTCTTAATGAAGAATTAGAAACCAGAGCCCTATATTATTCTTATTTTCTGTGTTCACTGTGTTTCTAAATTTAAAAATGGGCCAATACAACTCAGCAGTGACTTGAAAAGATATTTTTCGTCTTTGGGGTTTAGACGCAATCAAAAAAGGGACAACTCCCTGCCCCCCCCACCGCGCACAAACAAACAATAGCAATAACAAAAACCATTACCTTGGGCTATGTAAGGTGTGGCTTCCTCTTTCGGAGGGAGATTCGTGGGTCGAGGTGTGGGGGCAGGAGGTCTGTTTATAATGAAAGATCGACTTCCAGTTTTTTTCTTTGTACTCATATGGGCCAGTATCATGTCGTAGTCACTGTCATCAATCTCAGTAAAAGTGTATGGATCTTCCTCCTCCCCCGGCTCCTTTTCCTCTTCTTTCTTTTCTTCTTCCCTTTTAGGTTCACCTCCTGTTTCTTGTCTTGCACCAGGATCACACCAATGTTGACTTCTTTCCGTTTGGCCTTCCAACATTTTCCCTGTTATGAAATGTTTAGATGGTGGTTACTCTCCTATTATAAGCAATATTATTAGTGTTATTTTTTAAAGTATGTTTGTTTTTTTAGGGAGATTGGCCCTGAGCTAACATCTGTTGCCAAACTTCCCCCTTTTTTCTTTCCTCCCAAAGCCACCCAGTACCTAGTTGTATACCCTAGTTGTAGTCCTGGTTGTGCTATGTGGGATGCTGCCTCAGCATGGCTTGATGAGCAGTGCTAGGTCTGTGCCCAGGATCTGAACCGGCGATCGCCAAAGCAGAGCACGTGAACTTAACTGCTCGGCAATGGGGCCAGCACCCATATGCAATATTATTGATGTCCATCTGCCACTTGCTTGAACCTCCCCAAAAGTAATTTACATGTCATCTCATAAATTCCAAAAAGAGAAAAGTGAACCACATAATTTGCCTGCATATCCTTCTGCAGTTTGAAAATTTTAAATTTGTTAAGAAAAAAGTTTGACATGGATTTCTTTGAAAACATATAAATAAACATATAATTTTGCACATAGCTTTTGAATGATTTAATATCAGCAAAATTGAGTTATAAAACTAAGCCTCAAATTCCAAATGCTTTGAAAACTTGTGTTTTTTTAAGCATAATACTCTTAGATTTTTTCTTCAGTGGCTTGCACTGAGTATTTTGCCTAAAATTCAATTTCTCTGCAAAGGACAGAGGGGAATAGCCAAAAGCAGCATTACTTGGTTTCTTACAGTAAGTTTCAGTCTGGCTGTGAAAAATTGAACTTCAAAAACGCAACTCTGGGCCGGCCCTGTGGCACAGGGGTTAAATTCGCACACTCCGGTTTGGCAGTCCTGGGTTTACTGGTTCGAATCCCGGGCGCAAATCTACGTACTGCTCATCGAGCCATGCTGTGGCAGGCGTCCCACATATAAAGCAGAGGAAAATGGGCACAGATGTTAGCTCAGGGCCAGTCTTCCTCAGCAAAAAGAGGAGGATTGGCAGTGGATGTTAGCTCAGGGCTAATCTTCCTAAAAAAAAAATGCAACTCTTGATTTCTACAAGCCAACATGAACCTCATTCTTAGATAAAGGACACTGAAAGAAGGGTTCATGACATAAAAGATGGCATGGATAATCAATGGCTTGAAGATTCATTCATATGAAAAGAATAAATAATATTTTATGGTTTTCATACTCAGGAAAATCTTTACATATTTTTATAAGAATATGCTAAATATTTTAATAGAAGTTATTCAGAACACAAATAAATCATATACTTCAGTTAATGAATAAGTGGAAAAGAATTTTGATGGCTCTCTGCCAGGCCCATGAGCTTTTTTTTTTTTAAATTTGCCCTTTGACAAATATTTTGCTTAAAGTTTTAATGAAAACAAGGAAATGGAAAGGATTTCAGTTATTGACTGAAAAATTATTGCTTGCCTGTATTGTCCCGAGAGATTTATGCATGTGAACTAAGGGAGAACTATTCTCTTTTCTTTTTGGTGAGAATCTGACCGAAACAATTTTAGTTTACTTCTGGATATTTTAGTGGAAAAACTTAGGAGCTAAGGAGAAAGACAAGCTGTAGAGCACAATAAAAGGATGTTATTATAAGAAGATGCAGCATCTGTTTGGGGGTCGGCTTATGAGGAGAGAACAAGATCATCTCTCAGGAGAGTCAGACCTGGCTGTCTCAGTGGGTTTGACCAAGAAGTCTTCATTGCCTGCATGCTAGCACTAACTTTAAAATCACCACGACTTGCCTTTCCCTTGGTGAATGTGGTTTGGAGATTTGACTTCATGACTTCTGTTTCACTGACAGCATCACAGGTGAAACGAGATTAAGTGTGTGGGAAACACTTTTACAGTGTTTCATTTTTAGTGGAATGTGTCAACTATCTTACTTTTATGAGCTGATTTCCTGAGCTGTTAACTCTCTGTTTCTCTACCCACCTCTCTTCCCAACTCTCTCTAAAGTTGGACTTGCACTAGAAATAATTCACTTTACTTTCTATTTCCCAATGTATTAAATTATACTTTCATCTCAGAGTGGGACCTGAGCTGTCTCAATTCAGGTTATACATTAGTAAGTAAAGATTAAGATAAATGACCCATATAATTCTAATTTTTGAAATAATTGGGGCAAGAGTGTATTACGAAGAAAAGAATCCTCGAAGCTTAGGAAGCTGTCAGAGAAGTGTGGGACACACTCCAACCACTGGCTCTGCGGTTGGGGTCTGAGTCAAAGAGGGGGCACAGTGATTGCTGCCGTGCAAGTTTGCTGTGAAGATAAAAAGAGACAGTGTGTTCTTTATAAACTGGAAGTACTCTATATTATTGTTTTCTCCAATGAATATGTTATAAATCCCTCTTGGGGAATTTGATGCTTAGGGCATTGATGAGGTAGTTTCTCTTTTTCAATAACTTGAAGGCATATGGAAGCTACTCGTTTTTTTTTTTTTGAGGAAGATTAGCCCTGAGCCAACATCTGCCACCAATCCTCCTCTTTTTGCTGAGGGAGACTGGCCCTGAGCTCACATCTGTGCTCATCTTCCTCTCCTTTATATGTGGGATGCCTACCACAGCATGGCTTGACAAGCAGTGCGTAGGTCCACATCCAGGATCCAAACTGGCAAACCCCAGGCAGCCAAAGCGGAACGTGTGAACTGAACCACTGCGCCACTGGGCTGGCCCCTATGGAAGCTACTCTTGAAGGACAATTCCTGAAGCCAGCTAAAGTGAAAGAATCTACACAAAGTCTCTGGCAAAAAATAAGTGGTAGCTTCCAGTCTTACTTTCAAAGACCTTAATGAAAGAATTTTAAGAAAAAATACTAGCATTTTATTTTTCATTTACTTCCAATATCAGCCCTATGAGAACATGAGATTAAAAGCAACATTGCATATAAAATATAAAAAGGGAGTTTTTAAATAAAAGGAGTGGGTTTTTGTTTTATTTTGCTTTTTATATTTGGTACTTTTCGGATGATACTTTAGCCAACATTATACTTCTGGCCTTGGATGTCTGGTGAATGCCCTTGGCAGAGTGGTCTTGGACCTCCTAACCAACATACTATTTGTAGGAATTCACATTAGGAGATATGATTTAATGTTAGCTCCTTTAAGAGATTTAACCTGATACAGCACAACTTTGCCTTCTTAACAATGAATTTTAATCATTACGTAAAATTATTCACATCTGTAAAAATGAGAAAAATATATCAGAATTTTGCTCTCAGTGTACTACTAATCTATGTCCCTTCCTCCTCCTCCAACATCGATATACTTACTGCACTGATCTGTCTCAACGGTCTATAAGGACTTGGAACATAGGAGGTAATCAATAAACATTTGTTGAATGAGTGAATGATCAGAGGGGTGCCCATCAGGTATTCCATACTTCCCATTAAGCAGTGCTTTCCATCTCTAAATGTAGTGCATAACCTTAGTAAAGATGTATCAAGGACAGGGCCTTTGAGGACACATACTAAAACTCATGGCTTCAAAATTCACTTTTTGAAACAGCGTTTTTGTCCTTTATTGCCTTCTAGGACTGGAGAACTAAAGTACAGTGATAAATGGAGTATTGATAATAGATATTTCTTTCCTCTTATTAGATTTGCTTTGTAAGAACATTTTATGAATTTGGAAAATAAATATAAAACAGTGGCCAATAAAGTGGATGGTAATTAGTGACTGTAAGAGTGAACCCGGGGCCAGAAGTTGGTCCGGCTGTAGGACACTCCAGGCAGATAAGCCCACCATGGAAGCTCCTCTTGGTCTCCCTGCCCTCTCCCCCGTACACACTGAGTTCCTGCATCCGGGAGCAGAGTCCATCACAGCCACTTACTGTCCTTCCACGTTAGCAACCTCTGGAGTGTTCCCAGACTTTGGTCTCAATGCAGTGTGTGACACCCTTTACCACTCCCTTCCCCTGCAGCCACCATCTCAGGGAAGGGGCCAAGCCCATCTTCAAACCTGTAGAACGTTAGCCTTTCCCTTTTGCCAGAAGACTAAGAGTATTTTTTAAAGGCAAAATGGTCATTTACTTTTCCACGTGAGGCTTGAGGTTCATTTTATGTGAAGAACCACAGATTCCTTCCAAGTTTTATCTCTTTACTTATTTAATGCTTGTCATGAGACTTAGTTCCTAAAGGAAAAAAGAAAGAGAGGGAGAGAAATGGAAGAAGGAAGGAAGGAAAGAAGGAAGAAGGAAGGAAGGAAAGAAGGAAGAAGAAAGGAAGAAAGAGTGAGTGTCAGGTATCTGCTGCCTGATTTCCCAGGCCCCCGTTGTTCAAGAATGGAAAGAACGTTGCTCTTGGTTTTAAAGCTGATCTCCTCTGTATAGATTTGCCACTGCACTCTATGTTACATAAGCCTGTCCAAGGTTTTTGTGGTTGTTGTTGTTATTTTAACCTTAAACTTACCCTGTGATGTGAAGTGAGGTTTTTCCAGTTGGAAGGCAGCAGCTACAGGTCGCGGCGGGGGGAGAGGTGGCCTGTCGCTCACGAGCGGCTCTCGTGCATCGATTTCTGGGTTGTCTCCAGGAATGAACGTATACAAGTCATCATACTGGCTCTCAGAACTGTCACTGCCATCCTCTGCTGGGCTGTGCGTGGCCTCCGTGCCTGATCTGTTCTCTTCTTTCTCCTTTGATGTTTCATGCGACTCAGCTCCTTCTGCACTCTCCCTGTATGTCTGGCTGCTTTCGTGATGAAATGCTGGGTTCTGTACAGCTGTTTATGATGGAGACTGTATGACTTCATTTGCACACACCACCTGGAGGCCTCTCTCACTTTGTCGTATCATAGGGAAGGGGTAGTACTGCTAATAAAACCTTTACGATCTGATGCAGTGGAAAGCTGACAAATGCATAATTTTGGTGCAAACTCATTCTTGGGCTTTTAACATGTCTACCAAATGAACAGTTAAAGCTCCACTATATCTTGCTACCTCAGTATATGACACACTCATCAGATAATAATATTCTGATTCTCTACAGCTATTGTTTGAACAGATTCATGATTGCACATATGATTGCACGATGGCATTTTTATTAGAAAGCAGTATAACTGACATAGTAAGTAATAAGTAAATGATGGAAAAGGTAAATCCAAGAAAAAATAAATCTTATCTTGCTTGTAAATAATGCAATAAAAATGAATCTGTGATTATTACTTATTTTAATATATATTTATCAGCAGATTATATCTTAATTCTTGAAAACATTACTTGAGAAAAAGTATTAATATTTTTTGAGGAGGAAGGTATCCAAATCATCAAGAGTAGGTAAATATTCCTAAGGCCCAGTTCTCTCAGTTTTATAAAGTGTATTCTATCCTGAAACTTAACCAAATGACCCAGTCAAATTCCCTCCATTCTAAGAATCATGATTCCATTATTTGTTTTTATACCATACACAGTAAATGCTCTCTAACCACTCAGGAAGAAAATACAAAAAAATTTATAATGTGATAACTTTAAATCTTAAAAATTCTTTTTGTTAAAATTTTCTTTATAAAAATTCAGCTTTAAGTAAAGTATTCACAAAAATGTAAAACAAACTTTGGAATCTCTACATTGGAGGGAATATGTGAATTGTTGTCATTGTCAGTGCAATAGAAAAGCAAACAATTATTTTAAAGTGTTGCTAAACTAAAACATGATAAAGAAGCCAAACAGCAGAGGATAGAGAAAAATGAATATTTTAAAAAATGAAGAGTTACACTGTAGAAATTTTTCAACAATGGGAGAAAAATTAGTCAAGTGGAAAAATCATGCCCCATATTTTTACACGGAATATCATTTTTTGCTTTTCTCTTCTTTCACATGAGAAAGAAGAAAGATTTAGCTGCCAGTACCAGAACTGCAGACCAAAATTCTCTAGCTCCCGGCCCAGGCAGAGCAGATGGCCTTTTGTTCTTGCACAGATCTCTGAGCACATCTCATTTCTCTTCTACCTCTAACACCAAACGCTGAGCCTGAAATAAAGCAGTCTCTAGAAATGTTGGTGGAGCAGATGATGAAGTGACTGAAAAGAAATTATTGTCAGGCTAGCAAAGGGCGTCACTATTCCTCTCTGGGCAAATGCATCATCAGCTTAGAATGACATTCACGCTATAGGGAATCGCTTGTAGCCACCCTGATGTTTATGCAGTCAGTCAGTGTCTATGTTTTATGCATACACTGTCTGAGCAACAGAGTCTCCTTGGTCATTGTCAAATGTGCCCAAACCTGGAAGCCAGCCCTGGAGAGCCCGAGGTGTGTCAGTGGCTTTCAGCAAGCTTCACAGCAATAGTGCTATCAGTGAAAATCTGCTGACTCAGGGTGTTCATGCTTCACCCTCGCTCCCGTGAAAGAACCTGAGGCCTGAGTCCAGTCACACAGTTTCATGCATGAGACAGTTCCAGGCCCAAACTGTCTGCAGAAATGAGGTTCTTCTGTACAAATAACCAAAACAATGTTTTCTTAGTACAGGCATGATAATGATAATAAAATGCATAACTTTAAAATTTAGTGCATTAATTCATTACTTTAATAGTATTATTTTGTGTTCTGCAAAAATGTTTGAAAGAGTTTACCGAGTTTGCTAAAGCATGCTAGTTAAAGCATTGCATTTAATTTTATTTGATTTCCAAGTCAGCCTATCATTTGAAAAACTAGTGGTCAATAATGTTTAAATGAGCAGCAACTGCGTCCTGTTAAAAGTACAAATGTCCCCAGGCAAGAGCATGCTTGATGGGTGAGATGCCACCGTGAGGTGAACAAGCAAGAGAGTGGTCAGAGATGGGACCAAGAGGATTATCGAGGGCCTCGTAGGTGATGATCAGGATTATAAGTATGATGGGAAGATATTGCAGGACCTGGAGCAGAAGAGTGATTAGTTCCTTCATGAAGCATAGAGTGTCAAGAGTGGCAAATGTGGAGGCCGCTATTGTATGGTTTCTTAATAGCAGTACTATTGATATTTTGGACTGGATAATCCTGTGTTGTGGGGGGCATGTGCATCATAGGGTATTTAGCTGCATTTCTGGTGTCTGTACCCACTAAATGCCAGTTGCAAACCTCCCTTCTCAAGTCAAGACAATAAAAAAATTTCTATGCATTCACAAATATCCCCTGTCAGGGGCAGAAAATAGCCCTCCTTTGAAAGCCACTGTGCTATTGCAGTAATCCAGGGGACAGCTGATGACAGTGTGGCCTAGGATAAACAAAACGAAGGAGTGAGGAATGTCTGAACGCTGGCTGTATTTTGAAGGTAGGGTCACTGGATATAGGGTAGGAGAGAAAGTAAAATAGCCAAGGGTGGCTCCAAGGTTTTTGAACTAAATTGAACAAGGAAGGAGTCTTCACCGATGGAGATGGAGAAGTCAGCGGGCAGGGCAGGTTTGAGAGCGGCAGGAATTAGGATTTTCAGATTTGAAAATGTTGGGTGGGACATGCCTATCAGACATGCTGGTGGAGATGTGAGCAAGCTGTGGTACACCAGTGAAAGCGGGCATAGCAGGAAGAGCTATATGCATGCCGGAAGATTCTGAACTAGTCTTCAGACCTCAGAATACAGAATTACATCCTATTACAGCCAATGAGAGTCCTAGGCCAACCTTCTCATTTCCCAGCTGAGAAAACTAAGGTCTGAAAAAAATGTGACTTTGTTTTAAAAAAAAAAACAAATTGAAAAAATACAGTTGTCAAACAGAATATTTACATCGACTTGACTTGTGCCTTCTCTTTGGATAGAAAAACTTGGTGTTTGATTACTGAACATTAAACTTAATAGAAGCATCTAAATTAGCAAGATAATACAGTAACAGCTCTCCTATAGTATAAATTGAAAGTCATTCAGTTAATTAAATATCTTTCCATGCTCTTCAAACCTTTCCAAGCTCTCTTCAGTCTTAACTTACCAGTTACATATGCCTTAATATGAATGTTAAATATATATATATATATATATGCACAACGTGTAAGAACACCTACGGGGAGAACATGCAGAAAATGAGGTAAAATCCTCTTCATAGTCATTTTCCAGCTCATTATTTGTGCTAACTTCTTGGATCTGAAAAAAAAAATAAATGTAATTTTCAATAATGCATTAATCTTAATAAATCTGTATTTTTACATATACTAAATGGAAAGTTAATACTTGTGGAAATAAAAAAATAGTTTTAAGGTTTCTATTTAAATATTTTGATTATATTACATATCTTAGCTTTTATATTAGTGCCATCTACAATTGTTCAATGACACAGAGTATTAAAAGTATAACTGGAGCAATAGAACATTTATAATAAACAATAAATTGATTTAAAAATGAAACTACTTTGGGGCTGGCCCCATGGCCGAGTGGTTAAGTTTGCGCACTCCACTCCGGCAGCCCAGGGTTTTGCTGGTTCGAATCCTGGGCACTGACATGGCACCACTCATCAGGCCATGCTGAGGCAGTGTCCCACATGCCACAACTAGAAGGACCCACAACTAAAATATACAACTATATACTGGGGGGATTTGGGGAGAAAAAAAGATTGGCAACAGTTGTTAGCTCAGGTGCCAATCTTTAAAACAAATGAAACTACTTTAAGACTCAAAGCGATAATCATGAAATTTGGCTGTAATAAAGAAGTCCTGAATAAAATTGAACACAACTATTTCTCCTAAAAAACATGACCTTGCTTCTTTTTAACGTTTTTGTCTCTTTTACCAGTTCAAAAGACATTCTTAATTACATCAATTATTATAATACAATGAAAGACAGTGAAATTATAAAGTGATTTATTTTCTATCTTTAAAAAGAGAAAAAAAAACGAGTAAGGGAATTTATGTTTGTCCTTCCAAAACCAGTTGCCCTACACTTAGAAAGGAGAACTACTAAGAAAGGACAGAAACTCGTTATCTCTGGAATTGCTAGTCTTTGTTCATAATCTCTGAAAAAGACATGGGGTCTATGGTAGCAGAACACATTGGTACTTGTAGAGAAAGCTAAGTAATACCAGTGACAGTTCTATTTTTGCAAAAGCATCTAGAGAAAGAGATAAAGCTTGAGTGCATTAACAAACGTCACATTTTGTTACCATCAACTCCAACTAATTATTCAAATGATTTAGGCCTTTGTTAATAAAATTGATCGAAATGATTAAGCCATTTGCTCTGCATTTGGAATATCCCTCTAAAAATTAGAAGCATCCATATTAAAGCATTACTAAATTTATAACAGCCTTGGTATGCAAGGGTATTTGACCAGGATGTTGACTTCATCAATCTGGTTTGTCAACCACTTTGGCCAATGGAAGCCCAATGGAGTTTCTTCTTTTTTTCTTTTTCAAACTAATGCTATCCAGAGAAGCATCACAGTCTGACTTCCAGTTGAATCTTTAAAATAAAAATATCTTTAGTATTTTTTTAGTGAGCCTGATGCAGAAGTTCGTTTTCTATTTAAATCATATTTTTCCTTTGGTAGACTCAGTCAAATGCTAATATGAAAAATCATGTAACTTTACTAGGGAGATTGACAAGTTGATTGGTATTTTTATGCTTCGGTATTAAAAGTATTGCTTAATATAGACATTCTTTGTTTCCAATTAGCCTGAGCTCTATATTTCAAAAGGTAGATCAAGAATACATTAAAAAATTCCATAATATTCTTACAATCATATCAAGGAAGTTTTTACTAGTTGAATACTGGGAATGGTTTTCAAAGATTTCAGGAATTATGTAAAATTTCCTATATACTATTCACAAGCCTAGAAATTATCAGCTCAAACTCAGTGTAAATTAATAAAGAGACCATGTGCAGGCATGTAGGTGCATATGTGTGTACTAAGGTTGAAACCTAACAATCATTTTCATGTCATAACCTAAAGCTATATGACATTTGCACAAACAAACATGCCTGCCCAATAATGTCTCAAAGGAAGTAGCTTCCAAATTGAAAAAATAGCCGAGATTGACTGATTCGAGCACTTTCCTAAGTATTATGTAAAGTAGATATTTTGTATAATCAGGCTATGCAGAAAGTAATTGCTTTCCCAGGAATGAGAGGATCTTTAGAAATATTTACACTAAAAACAAATGTTTCTTACTGAGTTCCTTACACTTAAATCATATTTATTTTGAAAAATATGTTAGATCTAGTGATATATTAGTAACTGTCTAACGAAATCAATGATGGCTTCAAAGACAAGTATGGTGGCACTGCATCTAATCACCTCAAGACTTGGCTGTGTGGGGCAGTGGACAGAGCATGGATTTTTAAGTCAATCCAAGAACAAATCATGGTTCTATTATTTATTAGCTGTGTGACATTGGGCAATATACTTTACTCTAAATCTCAGCATTCTATCTTACAAAATGTGGATAGTAACCTCTATGCCGTCAGTGTGCTGGGAGGGTTAAATTAGAATAATGTAAATAAAACACATATCACACCTACCACATAGGAAGTGCTCAATAAATGTAGTCTGCGCATGTTAGACTTTCCCTCATCGTACAAAACATAGATCTACATTTAAGCAGGTGTGTGATCACATCGGTTTGATGGAGGAATCATCAATAATGAACCAATAGTTATTTACCTTATTTCTCTCTGCTGTGCCCCTGTAGAGGTTCTGCTGCGACAGAAAAAGAACTGGAATATAAACTTTCTATCTGATCAAAGTGTGGCAGTATGATTTTGTTATTAAAAACACCTCTATAATTTACAAGCTAATAGAGATGATAGGAATTAGGGAAAAAGAAATATTTAATTCTTTGACAAGGTTCTTTTTCTAGGGCTAGACTCTGACTTCATTCATTTATCGAATATTTCTGCAGGCCTACTATGTGCTAAATACTCTGTTATCAAGTAAGGAAAATAAGTTAGAAATAAAAAAGAGACACAAGTCCCACTCTCAAAAGTATCATATTTTTACCAGGAGAGGAAGAAAAATATTAAAATGATTGGAATACAATATTTTATTTATTTCACTGCAATAAACCAATTCCTTACAGGTGAAACAGAGAATTAAGAAATTCAAGGCAAAGATTTATTCGGTTGCTTTTTTTGGATGAGGAGATTGAATTAAAAAATTATCTTGACACTTGCCTTGATTCCCACTTCTCTAAATGAAAACTCTAGCTTAAACAGTCAAATCTATTAGCTCAGTGTAATATTCCAGACTGTAGATAGTCCTTGCAACACACAGTGCTTAACATAATTAAAATCATTCATTAGCAAAATAAGCTAAAAAAAGGTATGTGAAGCTCTACATAGCTTTGGCATCTAGTTCTGTACAAATTGATCATAACATTCTGATTTTTGAGGGAGTGAATAAAAACAATCTTCACGCGGCAGTTGGTTTCTCCACCTTTTTATGAGATTCTGAAGATATTATAATTAGCCCAACTCTTGCCCAATTTTCCACAGTGTTGATTATAAATGATTTTGCCACCTTTAAAGCACATGGCAGTCTTTGGAATGAGAATAAGAAGATACATATATGTTTGAAGAGTAACAAATTGATCCTATAATATTTTATTTATTACCCAAAATGAAGGCTCTAGGCTGGAGAATCTGAGATAACATTCCAATCGAAATAATAAAGATTATTCTTACTAAATGTTTAGAATAATGAACAACATTACACTAAAGCCATGAATAACAGCAAACAGAGTCTCAAAAACAATTTTCAAGGGCATATTGTAGAAGTACGGTATCTTAGCTCTCATTACATCTTTCAAGAGAATTTTCTTCTCCTTAGGCCATCAAGGAATATGGTCTAAAAGCAGATTTATATAATTTCTAGTGAAAGTTTCTTTTTATATCATTACAGAAATTTGAATCCTGAATGTGAAGATTAAATAGGAACTGTGCTCATGATTGGTAGAGGAATGAACTAGAATAAAGTAGAAATGGAGCTGTTAAACCTGGATAGAGGGAGAAAAGTGGACATTTCCCTTGACATGGGCCAAAATTTAGAATAATCTGAGGAAATATGCTCTATTTTGTTTTTTTTTTAAAGATTGGCACCTGGGCTAACAACTGTTGCCAATCTTTTTTTTTTCTTTTCTGCTTTTATCTCCCCAAACCCCCCCTTTACTCAGTTGTATATCTTAGTTGCACGTCCTTTTAGCTGTGGGATGTGGGACGCCGCCTCAACGTGGCCTGATGAGCAGTGCCATGTCCACGCCCAGGATCTGAACCCTGGGCCGCTGCAGCGGAGCGTGCGAACTTAACCACTCGGCCACGGAGCTGGCCCCTGCTCTATTTTTTAGACAGAATCTTATGAGAAAAAACTGAGTGATGAACAGACACTTTGACCAGGTGACAAAAGCTAGCAGTCTGATTCTACTCAATGAGTGAGTCAGTTTTCTAATTGTGACCAACAAGGACAATCTGATGAAGCAAAAAGAACAGGGGCCAAGGGGACAAGTGATACTTTCACCTGAAAGTTCACAGATAGGGAGAAAGAAACAGCAGGAATATTGAGACCTACTCCCTCAAATTTAGGAAAACAAATTTGAAAACGTTTAGCTTTCACAAAGGTTCTGGAGGGTTGGCCTCTGTAGCTGGCACATCTCTTGTTTTGACCTCAACTCACTGGGTGTGCCCACCCCACACGTCCTCTCATTCTGAGGCCACCCACCAGCCAGCCTCCAGGCGTAGTGACCCAGAGGACCTGGTCCCAGATGACAGCTTTTGTCTTTATCTCTGCCCACGATGCAGCTCGAACTATAGTTGTGAACTTCAGGTTTGGCCACCTGACACTTTTAACCACACTCTAGATCTATTTTAATTGTGTTTGTTTCAAACCCTCCATAGTTGTGGCTTTATCTATGAGGTACCAGCACCTTTATTGGACCACATGCTTGGTTTGATGTTAGCCATCTCTGTCACTAAAATGGGAATGATAAAATTAAAATCCATCTCTTTGTAAGGATTGTAGCTGTAAATGTAAAAAAAAATAATGGTTATCTTCATTTAAATTATAGAATCCAAAGTCTGAAAGGGACCTGTGGATAAGTAGATTATTCTCTTGTTTGTGCACTGATATAATACTAAAACACTGTGTCACAATAAAAATGTAATAATTTGGATATTTTTCCAAGCAAAAGTGTTTTTAAATGTAGTCTATGGTCTGCACTGTCCAACCCTCTTTACAATTGGCCTTTCCTGGGTTCCAATGCTTATCACTCTTCTCTTCTCACAGAATGTGTGTTCTCTAGGTCATCTTATCCACTGCATTGTCTTTAATTTATATCTATACATGACGATTCTTAGAAATATTTTTGCTCCAAACTTTTCTGAGGTCTAGATTCTAGGATTCAGCAAAGGATACTAGAAGAAACAGTCATGGAAGCAAGCAGAAAACCTGGAGGGAGAGCTGTCAGAAAAATCAACGAGAGGATGCTTTAGATAGAATGTGTCCACCCCAAAACTTACATGCTGAAATTATAGCCCCCAAGGTGATGGTATGCAGAAGTGGGGCCTTTGAGAGGTGATTAAGTCATGAGGGCAGGGCCCTAATGGATGGGATTAGTGCCCTTTTAATAGAGACCCACAGAAATCCCTCACCCCTTCTGCCATATGAGGACGCACTAAGAAAATGGTCATCTATGAAGCAGGAAGAGTGCCCCCAGCAGACACCGAATCTGCTGAATCGTGATCTTGGACTTCCCAGCCTCCAGAACTGTGAGAAATAAATGTTTGCTGTTGTGAGCCACCAGTTTATAGAATTTCTGTTATAGCAGCTTGAATAGACCAAGACAGAGGATTTCAAGTAGAGCACAATATTCAATGCTTCACCAAGAGTGGAAAAGAAAAGCTCTGAAAACAATTCATAAGATTTTTCAATCAAGGTCACTGGTGACCCTGATGAGGAGAATTACAATAAAATTGTGTGAATTCACACCGGATTGAAGAATCTTAAAGAGTAGAACAGAAGTCATCGTGTATAGAGTTTCAAGAACCAGGACTTTCATAGGGCAACTGTGCTGAAGATTTGTTTTTCAAAAAATAGGTTAAAGATGTCAGTGAAAGAGTGCTTTATGTCAGGCAAGGGCCATGGAGATGCCGGTGATGACACCCAGAGCTCACCTGCACAGAGCACTGTGCCAGACAATGTGGGCTATGCAAATATGAACATTCCAGGCTCGCAAACCTCAAATACCGTGCCACCAGTGGGGAAGAGAAGGAATTTAGGTGAGGCAAAATGAAACAAGCTTTTAAAATACACACACTTGCAAAATGCTACAGATAGAGAGAAACGTGCAATCACTTCCACTGGGTGGATGGAACAGAGAACATTTCAGAGTAGGTGGTATGCAAGCTGAGTCTTAAAGGATAAGTAAGGTTTTAATCTGCAAAGACAGGGAGGAAGCATTTCTTGGCTGATGGGTGAGCATGACGGAAACAGCAGGGAGATTTGGTGAATGGTTCCTAGTTGGTGTGATTAGGGTGCATGGAGGGATATATTTGAATGTCAAGACGTGGTGGTGCATTATGGTTTTATTTTATAAACTTTTAAATGCTTTTGAGTATGTAATTATTTCCTATGAAGCAGGAAGTAGCATGTTCCTGCCTGTATTTTAGAAAAAAGAATTCTGGTAACAGTGGTTAAGAGGAAGAGGGGGGCTATTTTAATAGTCAAAGTGAAGGGTATTGAGGACTAGTAAGAGAAAATATTTAACGGAGAAGGCAGATTTAATAAATATCAAGGAGATGGCATGGGCAAGATTTTTTATAGCTTTGATGCCAAAGGCTGGAGGAAAGGGATCAAATATGACTCTGTAAGTTTCTGCTCAGCTCAACAATATCTGGTTCTTATACGTACAACACGCTTTTTCAGGACACTCCCCCAAGAACTCTCGACATTTAGAGATGAGGACACTAACTAAAAACACCTTTTTTATGCAAGTCTTCTCACCTCTTTATGAAGTTAAGAAGTTGATTAACTTGGGAGAACAGAAGGTAGTTAATTGTTTGATAGTCAAATAAACTTTTCATTTGATCAAACAAGACTCTTAACTATGAAAACAGACTGCTAGAATTGAATTGCAGAGTAACTAAGTACCAAATCCAAATTAAGTTATAAAGATACCAAAAAATGCTTGGATACAAACAATTGAACAACAAACTATAAATTACATTTAATCAAATCTTACTATATTTCTTTCTAAAACATGGAAAGATTTTAAATAGGCTTGCAATGAATTTAAACGGACTGATTGGTATTGGGTGCTTTGGAACAACACACTGAAAACAAAAACCATACAGTTGTGTTCATCATTTGGAAATGAAGTTGAATGGAGTGGAGACAGCAGAATGAAGGGGTTTAGTAAAAGAGAGAAAAACAGAGAGAGAGAAATGTCAGAAGATAGTTATGAGGATGTAAACACACATATCAAAGGTCAAAGCTAAGAGGCAGAGAATCATTCTTAATTAACCTTCCTCAATTTCAGAATAGTATTCAGAACTCAACTAGGGCATCTTGAAGAAGAATGAGTTTCTGGTACAGATGATTTTACTACAACATGTAACAATTCAGCCCTGGGAAATTCATAGTATGTCGTCTGGACATGCCATCTAATATTTTCAAGCATGATGAATTATCACTAACTTTGGTCAGTCAAT